AAAAAAAAAAAAAAAAAATAGAAAAACACAAAAAGCCAACATTGCTGCTCACTTGTCTAGATGGTTTTTGTTTGAGGGGGAGGGGAGGAGGGCATTTGAGATATAAAGAGTACATTGTTGTTGTATTTCCTGTAGTGGTATGCCATTGCCCTTTCAATTGTTGGTGACTATGAAGGAAAAACAGCTAAACTGAAAAAATCTGAAATCATGAAGGATCATTTTGAGGTAAGATTCATGATAATTATTGGGAAACCAGTAAAGGTCAGTCAAGTTACAGGAGTTACAAGAGATTACACTCGGTAGCCTAGTTTAAGTCAAAATATGCATCCAAATGTAAAGTTTATTTCAAAACCTCTCATTCTATTGTTACCAGCATTTTAGAGTCAGGCAGTAGATTTGAATTTCATTATTATGAATATATGACTAGACATTGTACTTTAATTTGTTTTGTAATGCAGAAAGCAATTGAATTGAACCCAACAGATCCTACTTCTAGATATCTACTGGGCCTCTGGTAAGTTAACCCTGAACAGCAAATATCAATGGATACACATTGAACTGGTTTTTGTCTCATTAAAGTAAATGAAAATATAGCAGAGAATTAAATCTCTAATTGATTGCAGTACAATTGAACTTTCAATCCTTTTTCAGGTGTTTTACTTTTGCTGACATGAATTGGATCACCAAAAAAGCAGCTGCTACTCTCTTTGCCACACCACCATCGTCTTCGTATGAGGAGGTAAATGAATTAAGATGTTCATGCTGAATGATATGGAATAATGCAATCATTTGCATCCAAACATCTATAACCATAATTATTATCCATATTCTCCTCCGTGCATTTACTTTGGTACTAACTAGCCTAAGGGTAATTCGTAGCTACTTAAGTTGATAATTGTTTCCTTTATTATCATGATGTAAACAAATTATTCTGCAAAGTTACTGTAAGGAGAAGATAGATGCTGGTCACTCTAAATGGGTTTAAAGGGTTAACTGCTTTGACTCAGTTACAACTTACAGTAACTCAACAGTTAGTCTCTTAATGCCTATTGTCAGGGCAGGCCTCATTTTAAATTTCTTTACTCAATTCAAAATTGAATAATCAAGGTTTCAATTTAAGTATAGTTTGCAATTATTGGTCATTATTAAAAACTGGATTATTGGATAATGCAATTCAAGACTTTTTATTGGCTTAGCCATTATGGTCTATCAGCCAATGTACCATAATCTACAAATATGGTAAGCATACACATCAGCTTAAAATTAAAAGGGAGTTAAAAAATTTAATAAAATTTAATTTAACATTTTTCATAGAGCAATTTTTCCTCTCGTGCTTGTTGGATATGAGATGATTATAGCCAACTCGGTGCTATGTGCCTTATCATCTCATATCCAGAGCGCACTCGTGGAATAATTGTTAATTATAATTCAACATTGAAATTGCTGCTGAAGGTTTGTTTACACAGTGAATACAGTCACTATGTTACATTGTACCAGACAGCTATGGAATGCACTGAATGATTTACTCAAACATGTAACCCATCCCTTTTTATATACTCCTCACAGGCTTTGTCACATTTTCAAGAAGCTGAAAAGTGTAAGATTTTTTAATTTTGAAAGTATGTTTGTATATTTTTCAGCTAGACATTTTTCTGTGAACGTATGCATGGGGTGTTAATGATGTTGACTTCCATTAATTCTTTATGGTGTCTTCTTGGTTTCAGTGGAACCAAACTTCTTCAGCAAGAACCATGTAATGCTGGGAAAAACATTACTAAGACAAAATAAGAAGGACGAAGCTAAAGTGTGGCTTAGTAAAGCTGTCAATGAGAATCCATGTAAAACAGTCGATGACGAAGCGGTATGTACATGCCTGTCATAAAAAAACCTTGACTTTTCTCATCAGGAAGTTTTCAGTGTGTTACCTTTGTTTATCTCCTATGGCAGCTAGACTTAAGATAAAGAAATCCATTTTAAATGCAAAATCTTCTCCATAATTCTTGACTCAATGGCTTAAAAATTTCCAGATTGCCATTATCAGGATTGTAACATCAAAAAACTTTTTTCTTTTTCCACAGGCAAAAGATGAAGCTAAGGAGCTACTTAAAAGTTTATAAACTGCATTGATTTTAGAAAATGGATTCACAATTAGGTTCATCGTTGACAAAGTTGTAAGGGTTGGCCCATTTTAATTCACATTAAACACATCACTTAGTATAATGACAAGAAAACTATTTCTAGTTGCATTTCTTTATTGTAAATTAACTTATAAGGTTCTAGACCAGGATTACAAATTCACCATGCAGCACGGTCTGTGGAAAGTTGCCTCTATGTGGAAATCAGTACACCTTGTTAGTTGATTAGAGTGACATCTTTCATGGTACATATTTAACAGCTGGTGGAGTGTCATGTATAGTCTTCAACCATAATCAGTGCTCAGAATATGGCAAGGAAACCCGAAGAGTTTCAGTCATTGGAAGATAACACTGACAGTTCTGTGGCCTCATAAATTTGTATCTAAACAAATAAATGTTTATCGCAACAAACTGATCTCGATCTGTTACATGGTGATCGCAGCTGCTATTCCTTGCCAGGAACATGACAAGGGTGAGATTTAAGAAGTATTTGTTGGCAGTAACAATGTTCTGCAAATGTTATGTTGCGGGAGATGCTGTGAACTTAGGTGACACATATATGAGTGTGTCAGGAGTAAAACCTGGTACAATGCATATGACATCACATGATCTCATGGGTGAGATATAAGCAGCATTTGTTGTTGCAATGTCCTACACATGTCATCTTCTGGGAGATGCTGTGAACCCAGGGGACACACACATGAGTGTGTCAGGAGTAAAACCCTGTATAATGGCATCTGGGCTTCTGCAGCTAACCAAGTAATCTTCTTCATCCTGGAAAAATGAAAATAATGCTGGAGCATTAGAAAATGGGTAAAAATGAAGAACAGTTCCCAAAAGATACTGTCGACCAACAGTCAGCCGATAGTTTTCGTTATGTTGGAGACTAAAGTGTCGGCCAATCGTCAGCCGACACATGGCCAACTGCCAGCCATCTTTTGGTAACCGTGTCGGCAATGTGTCAGTAACTTGTGTGCTGAAATTATCGTGTACACTTATTTATCGCTTCAACGACTACGTCGCAACAGGAAAAATTGCAAAGAGATAGTATGGCTATTGCCTACCTTGCTTGGGTTAGCCAGCGAAACATGCCTATATTGGTTCGATTTCATTAGTTAGCCATATTGAAATATTTCCTCGTACCCAATCCCCTAAATAAAATTTTGATGTCCTGCCTGTGAAACCCCAGTAATAATTTGTTTTTTTTTATATTTATTTAGAAGTTTCATCTACAAAACCCCAAAAATTGCATTAATTAAATTAAAATGAAGTCTAATAAAATGCCAAAAAAAGGTATACTTTGATATTTCAATTGTCACAATATGCCAAAAGGGTGATGATTGCAACCTGTCACAAGGAAAGAAAGATTACATATTACAGACAGTCGACAGTATCTTTTGGGAACTGTTCTTCACTTTTACCAGAAAATGCTTGCAAACAAACCATACAGTAGCTGTGAAAATTTAATGTGCATACCCTTGATCAATGTTTGTACCTTATGTTTTCTCTGTTTTGAGCAAAGGTTTTTACAAGGGTTAGGTTCAGGATTTGTATTTCTTTTGCAACAGATATTAGTTTCAGGATCATGTTCAAAATCTGCCACACTCAGCATGTGTCTGACTAGCTCTGTTTTATCAATGAAAATTCAAACACAAACAATATTGATTTTCTTTGAACAAATTTCAAAATTAATGTCACACATGTTGGTTTGTGCTGAAGTTATGATATTGAATTTGGATTATTTTTTTTAAATGGATTTTCACCCAAGGTAATGCTGAATCACGGCTGCCCATGGGCTCCAACTATGTTGAACCACAGTTGTGATGGCATAGATTGAAGTAACAAAGTTCCAAGTACAAAAGCTTTATTTTGATTAGCTTTAACAAAACGAGTTTCTCTGTTTTGCACGAAAACACCAGAAAGTGGAGCTATAACAACGAGTTAAAGCTGATCTAATGACATCTTACATATGTTTCTGAATGTTTCCTTTGATCATCTTTTTCATCATCATCGCCATCTCCATCTGCATTGTGTTCCAATTCCTCCCATACATGATAGAGTGGCTCAATAAACTGGGATGATCTGTTTTCATTAAAAATTCCCCATCAAAGTTAATAACCATCCAATAACTAACCCTTACTTAGTATTATGAGACTAACCTTCATTAAGATAATAATAATATCTCTTCTGATGTGAACTGTTGCTTTTAATTAAGAAACCATGTATGGTCTCCAGGATCTTAGCGAAGAAGGTATGGAAATAGGTACATACAGAGTACACACAACAGATGTTTGTCTATTTATTGTTTTCAACCATAAGTGTTTTGGGTCGATTTTTGGTCTACTTATTATAATACTATCAGCTGGCTATCAATAATGTGTCAGTAACATGTTGACCAACAGGTTGCTGACAGCCAAACATGGGAGCTATTATTCACTTTTACCCAAGTTTGTTGTGTTTATAACCTTTTACAGCACAAGTAAAATGCATGATGTCGTACTCACCTTTTCAAAAGGTAAGGATCAAAAGGAAAAAAAGAATCCAACTGGTTCTGGAAAGACAAGCTCCTCACTGCATGGCTGGATGCTGGTTTTGCCACTGGTAACATCATTCTGTTGTTTTGTTCAATAATTGTTTAGCAAAAGACCAGCTCGTGATGTCTATTGAATTAAACCAGCCATTTAGTATGTGCCACAAAAGGCAGTTTTATTTAATGAGCTAGTCACCCTTGAGTAAAAGGTGAGCTTAACATTTGCTTGAATGAACCAGAAACTCTGTTACTTTCTTACAATAGAAATCATTTGGAGGTCTGCTAGACAATGTACTGAGTGACAAAATATAATTATACCTTGTGATATATGCAAACAATTTAACAATGCTAGGTAAGCAAACCTGCACAAAGATCAGAGCAGAAATGATTAGTTCATGTACTTTTTAACATTTATGACAACCAATAACTAAAAGTTTCTAAATCCCCACCCTGGCCATACAACCCTCCACACTGTTAAACAACATGGATCAGCAGCAAAAAAAAAATAAAAAAACATGCCAACCCTGAGTGGATTCATGCGACAAGTAACAATTCTGTCCAGGTTCAGTCTTCTTATGTACTTTAATCCTGCAAAGAGACAGAATATTTGTTTGATGTTCTAAAATAAACCAGTTCCAAGACCATCATTAAATTTGTTAAGTTAACAAATTTCAACCCAAAGCAGATCAAGATCATTTAAAAGTAAAAATACTGGAACAGAGATGAACAAAGCAGCATTAAAATATGTTTGTAAACCTTTATCATACCTCCCTCAAGTTCAAGCAGCTGTTTGTGGCGAAATACAAACATGTAGAAAAGTGCCTGGAAATAAATGTTCAATGATTTAATAAAAATTATCATGTCAAAAGTCCATTCAAACCATCACTCTATTGACTATGTTCAGACAAAAAAAAAGGGTTTTTCATGTAGCTCAGATCAGTAGCATGTCTTCAACACCATGGCAAAAAAGGGGAAAGATAAATGAGGTCATTAGCGACTCTTCTTCAGTTTGTTTCCTTTCTCACTTCACCCTTCATATTTTTTAAGCTACACATCCCTCCTGTTCACAAAATTAAAAAAATACATAGCTAAATTGTGTGCAAGTAATCCTTGACCAGACATCACTTGATCGTCTGTATTGCTTTCAATTGATAATTGTTACTAAAATGGTGTACGGGAAGCGCTTAAGGTCAGAAAACTGGAATTAATGACCAGCATACCTGACAAACTGAGTAAAATGGACCGTATTTACCAGCGTCAGGTGTTACACAGCTTGCATCATGAGTGTCAATGTAGCTGTAAAGATATCAAGCATGTTGTGTTATTGAACTTTGATCTTGTGTGTCACGTGCTTGTGTTGTTCGGTATTTACGCATGCGTCCTGGAGGAATGGGGAGGAGAATAAAACACTGCTGTAAAATGGCTGCATGAGCTTACTACTCATATGGCACCACAGCTCAACTTCAGCATGACGCATAGAAGTAGCGTTGAGTTCCAAACAGAAATTAAATTAATTTGCCGTCGCGGTTTCGGTTCGCAGACAATGCAAATTGTGGTAATTTCACGTTGTTGTTTTGCATAGGAAGGCTACGAAATGTACAAAGTTTCAAAACGCAAGTGCTGATCAGCTATTGTTCTGCCAATTAGATCTCTTGTTTTTCCATGTCCTCGTTGCTGTTGCCATCATGGTTGCTTAAGGTCCCTACTATCAATCACATGCTGTGTTTTAAATACACTTACCAGTGAATCCAGTGCACCATAAGGTCCAAACAAGTTTGCACTGTACTGTAAAATTAAAAAGTAACATGCCATTGAATTACTACCTGAATCTCCCTAAATATATTAATTTTAAAAAAAATTGTTAGTAAATTAAAATGCTTGTCTATTCTTTTTGTGTCTTGGCTAGAAGAAATTAATCTTTATAACTATAGATTTCTCCTAATTCAAGTGGGTAGTACAGACATTTTACGTCAGTCTAATCACCAACCACTGTTTCCATTTACTTTCAATATCTCACTTGAGCTCAAGTAGCTATCTGAATTTCTCTACTGATCAGTTAACCTTTTCTCACTTTCACTGCAACCACAAGTTTAAGTCTTACCTGATGGGAATATATTTAGCCCTGGCTGTAAAACTTGCAATGTAAGCTGCAATGGCCTGTCTGATGACGGCTGGGGTATTAGGTTCCTCAATCTGGAACATAGGTTTCAATGATAACAAAGACAAAACCAACAAAATAGCACATGCCTAATTACTCATTGATTACACAAACTTTGATGCAAGATCTCAAATGATGAATTAATGAAGCATTACTTAAACATGTTGATCTCTGCATCACTTTGAAGCCATCAATAAATTTTGGCTGGTAAATTTGGACTCCACCCCCCTCCCCTTTGCAACACTCACTGAAACAAAATGTTACTTTAGAATGGAAATTTTCTTGCCAACCTAGGCTTCCCTTTTTTTAAGTAGTTCCCATGTATTTTTATTAGTTACTGCAGAAATGCTACTAAATTAAAAGTTCTAGAAGACATAGCACAAGTGTTGCAAATCAATTATAGCTGTACTGCACAATCATAATTGTTTTAAGTCCAGTGTTTGCCAAGCATTCAGTGAAATTTATAACCTTAAATTTAAAAACCTAGCTTACATTAATTCTGAGTGTAATCAACACAATGCTCATTGAAAGTCAAAGTTAAACATTGGGTTCAGTGAAGAATTACCTTTTTCCAGCAAATATCAAGAAGGGAATTGGAAAAATACTGCAGAAGAGGAAAGGAAAGAAAGTAAGGACAATCTTGAATAAGATTCAGAAGAGGAAACATTTTCATGCACATGCTTTTATTGTATGACATTCCAAGTGATGAAGGTTTTGTTTCATTAAGACTGAGAAAACAGTAAAATTCTCTCATACCAACCTGATCAAAGCTGCAGAGTAGAAACATGATAAATTGAATATGGCAGGATGCATGGGTGGGAAGAATGACTTTATCAAAAATCTGTTAGGTCAAAAAATCAAATTTCAATATTTATTGTTTCTTTCAATATTCGTAGAACTGAGTTTAAAGTCTACACAGTGGTGTGTCATGAGTGCTCTCTATTCATTAAAAGAAATATTTCAAATATGGTTATACTGGCTGTAAAATAAGTAAGCTCAAAACAAAAAGTTGATAACACTAGCTACGACTTACCACCAGTAGCTCATTAAACAATTCGATACCAGCATCAGCTAGATACTCTCCTAATTAAGAGAAAAAAGACAATTGAAACACTAATAGCCTCTTACGAATGATAAAAAACAACTGCAGCAGCAGGAACAACTTGGCAAAACTTCCAATAAAGTGATACCTACTACATATCTTGCCACTTCTAATTAACAATTATTCCACAACCGCGCATTGGATATGAGATGATAGATAGCCAACAAGGTGTGTAGTGTCGAGTTGGCTATAATCATCTCATATCCAACTAGCAAGAGTGGAATACTTGTTTTATCAAAAAAACGCCCCCAAGATATTAGACAAATCTTCTCGACTTTATTTTGTGAGAAGAACCCGGATTTAACAATGTACAGAAATTAGATTATGGTATATTGGCTCNAAGGGGGAGCTTCAATTTACATATTTATTTATTTATTTATTACATTATTTTGATGTATTGGATACTTCACTCTTTTCTTGAGCTTCATCTAATTTATATGAACCTTGCAAAGATAACAATAATTTATAGTGATATATATATAATTATATGAAGTAATAGAACACATTTTTTCCTGGCTCTACATCATTTTTAGAGTTATTAATAATATATATCTATTACTTAAATGAACAAAGTATGCATTGCCTGATTGGTCAGTTCAGTCTCCAAGCTGATGCCTTATAATGCAATAAGGCCCACATTTGATCTAGTAAAAAGTCTGTATATGAGCCAAGTGGCCCATCTGGCCGGTGCTTAACTCCGGTTTCTGTAGCATGAAGCGACTAGGAGAATTTCTACTCCCCCCTGCATGAGATGGTAATCCATCGCAGGGTTACCTCCAGCATTAAATTTCCCAGTACCCATTTAAACACCTACCAGTGGGTGAAGAGATGTACTGTAAAAGGAAAGTGTCTTGCCTGAGAAAGCAACACAATATCACGAGGCCACGGCACCTCCCACACATTTGATCTACTTATGTCATAAAAGCAATAGAATGTATTTTTGCGGTCTCTTTAAAGTCTCTTTAAAGTCAGACAGGATATTGGGAGAGCAAGAGGAAAGCTTATAAATCACAAGCCAAAGGAAAAATGCATTCTTTTGCTTTTATGATAGGTAGATCAAATCTGGGCTCTATAACATGATCAAACATCCACTTGGAAACTGAATTGACCAATCAGGCAATGTACACTATGTTCATTTATGTCAGAAATATATATGGTGACTCTGAAAATTGTTATTATATCATATCAATATGAAATTGTCATATTCTTATACTTACATCAATCTTGGTAAGATTGTCAATGATCAGTTCCAGAATGTTTGCTCTGAGGCTATGGAGGTATTTTGTAGCCTGTAGCAGGTTCTTTATGTAACTTTCCTGTAAATGACAAAGTGACAAACACTTATAGCAAGTTTATAATGATTGCAACTATATTTTGCAAACACTTCAAACAATATAAAACACAAAGCTGGAAGTTACATTTCCTATGTAAAGCCCTTACATCTAAATTAAAAGTAAAAATTCAATTGAATAATGTCAATTCATATCTCTATTATCAACAATTTGATAATAGAGATATGATATAAATTTAACTTCCTTACCAAATATAAATGAAGGCTGAACTACAAGCAATTGGCAGAAGTACCTAAATTACCAAATGAACTTAAATTACCTGAAATATTATAGGTTTTCCTACAAATGGAAAATTTTCTGACAGTACAGGTATCAAAAACTGTGGAAGTCTGTTGAATGAAACGAAATGATAAGATAAGGGTTCAAACATGCAAGCATAGTGATGTCTGATCACATTGACTAGGCTCAGGAACTATCAACAGGAACTATCCTCTGATATCTTGATTCCTAGTCACATTTTAATGAAACATTTTGCCAAAATGATAGTTTGATCAATCTATTAGCTTCCAATACTGACAGGTTCTAAAGTGAGAAAATTACTGAGACCAAAATTAAGGTTAAAAAATTTTATCAGCTTTAACTTACGCTGGAACCACTTCATGGATAGCATGCAAGGCTTCGTGGGCGTTACAAAATATCTTCTCAGAAACTGAAAGATATGTTTTGAAACAATAATTATTATTTTTAACACATCCCCATTTAAAAATGTACTTCACCATTTTAAAATGTACTTGACATTTTAGGAATCTTAGTTCCTGAATGAACCAATCAGATCTCAAATACATTTTTAATGAGATCTTTGGGAAATAAGTTACTGTATCAACCAATCAGATTTGGGTTTGTAATATGAACCTTACTCTTCAGGAACTAAGTTCCTCAAATAACCAATGACATGAAAGAATATATGCCATGTCATTGCTAAATTAAGATTTGTCTGTTTTATTTAAGTCAACACCAGATAAAACAGATAACAATAGATGGGACATTCTGCTAAAGTGCAGTAATGTTTCACATCAAACTGGATGCTATCTTTAGTAAAATATATATTCTTCTTTGAGGCTTTACTATTTTTATTTAGCCCTCGACATGTACAAGCTTTTTGTAAAGCTTTGTCACAGTTGTAATTTTACAGTAAAAATTAGTTCCATTCATTGTCTTTCACGTACCATAGAAATGTTTTGAATACACTGTGGTTAACACAGCGATGGAAACGCGCCTGATTGCATAAAATTCTACAGAAATCGTTGACAGAAAATGCCACCAACAGTTTTGCCGCGCTTTTTATCT